ATGCACACGGAGTAACTTTGAGAGTCTTTCCGTTTTGCTTGTTTGGACCTCCTGTATTCTATCCAGTCAGAGGACAAATTGTAATGGAAAGCTCTGAGAGCTGTACCTGGGACTCTGAAATGGAGCAATGCATCCTCCTCCCATCGTGTAACACCAGGCAGCCCAAGTCGGCTGTCCATACTGAAAGAGGCTGGAGGCAGCAGACGCCAACAGGCACTGGGTCAGTTCCGAGTGTCTTTCCTTGGGGGGTGAGGCAGGAAGACAGAGCAACAGAAGAATAACTGATCCACAGTGGGGCACTTCTGGTTACCTTCTCTGTGGAAAGATTAAGGCAGAAGGCATTTCCTTGTTATGTCAGTCGTCACTGTCCTGTTTGGGAAATTGGCTGTCATCGTCTTCCTGGTGTGGAGGAGGACAAGACAACTTGGTTTTGCTTCAACTTTTGTTGTTGTTTTAGCCATTTCTATTTTTGTTCCAAGGGGCACATGCTTGGTTCTGTGCCAATCAACTCTTCACTTCCAAGCGGAAATCCCTATGTAAACAGAGCCAGGCTGCATTGAATTGTGTGATGCCTTGACTTTTAGCTTTAGTGACTCCATACTGGTTTTCAGCCTGTATCTTGGGGCCCAGTGGAAGAGCTTGGTTGAAAACAATGGCTCGTACCACTTTTATTTGACATGGCCTGAGTCTCAGAGCAGAGCATCGCATACCTACTCAGACATGGCCTTCTCTTGCTTGGCAATAATTATTTGTCATCTGCTCTTATATCCCACCCCCTTGGACTTTCCTTCTGCTATTCAACAGCTGAACCAGGAGTCTTACATCTAGAATTCTTTATTTATTTATTTATTTATTTATTTATTTATTTATTCATCCATTCATCCATCCATTCATTCATTTATGTGTTCATTCATTTAGCTGCACTGGGAATTGAACCCTTGGGTTCAATTGCACTGGGGCCTTTACACCGAGATATATCACTAACTTTTATTTTTAACTTTGAAATGAGGTCTGGCTTAAATTGCCTAGGCTTAGTTTAAACTTGTGAACCTCTTGCCTCAGCCTCTCAGAGTGTTGGAATTATAGGCCCACTGGTTACTAACACTTAGCCCATGCAATGAAAGGGAGTCAGGCCTGTGGGAAAGCCCCTCCCTGAACCCCAAAAGACTTGAAGTAGTGATGGGAGTGGTGCTGGAAACCCTGGCCTTCAGGAGGAAATAGTCCCAGCAGGCCACGGGGCCAGAGTGCTGGGGTGGCTGAGGTGGGGACAGATGTAGGACAAGAATTTTCTAGCAGGTGTTACTGTCCCTCACTGAATCTCCATCAATACCATTCATCTCTCCTGGCGCCTCATGGACACAACGGTGACCGTTCAGTAAATGAGTTTTATTCCTATAAAAACCTAGGGCTGGGGTAGGTGTTGCTCTCCTTTCCCAGTGTGTTACTTTGATATATTTTAATCATGATGGGAACGTTGAAAGAATGATACTGTTTACTAAAATTCACCAGTTACTGAAATTTTCTTTATCCTTGTTTTATCTCTGTTTTACTTTTCTTTTTCCTTGGGGGATGGGAGGCAGGACATGCTATACTTTCAAACATTTTCACACATTGCTCCTAGATGCTTCTGTTTGCCTGTGCTGAGACCAAGAGAGTTTTCCTACATCAGCATTACAAGACAATCCCACTCAGGAAGTTAGACCTTAGTATTGTCTAATTGGTCCCTGATGGTCCTTTGTAGCTTTTGGAAATCTCCATGCACTTGGAGCTCAAAACCATGGAGCCTCTTTATTTTTATTTCATTTATTTATTTTTGTGGAATCCGGGATTGAACTCAGGCCCTTGCACTTGCCAGGGAAGCACTTATTCCATTGAGCCATCTCCCTGGACCCTCTCTCTCTTTTTTTTTTAAACTGGGATTTTTTTTTGTTGTTGTTTTGGTTTGGTTTGGTTTTGGATACAGGATCTCATTATGCAGTTTGGACGCCTAGTGATTCTCCTGTCTCAGACTTCACAGCACCAGGGTTATAAGCATGCACCACCATGCCCAGGCTTGGCAGCCAGCTCAGCATGCCCTGGGGTGGAGCCAGCCTTGCATGTGGTGCTGGGGATCAAACCCCAGTCCCTACACTTGCCGAAGCAGGTGCTTAGTCTACTGAGCTATATCTCTGGCCCTAGACAGGGTTTTGATATACAATTGAGGCTGGTCTCGAATTCACTTCCAAATGCTGGAATTAGGCATGTGCCATCATGCCGAGCCAACCAATCTCTATGCTCATTTCCTCTAAAGAAATCCTACAGCCTTTAAAAACTTTTCCAACATCTGGATTTTTTTTAGTAGTTACTAGTGTCACAGAGAGTCCATGAAGGCGGATTTATCAGTGTCCTCCTGGGGCTATGCAGGTCCTTTTGCAGCACACTAGGGGGCAGGAAAAGCCACTTGGGTGAGCCGGTGTCCTCAGAATGTACTGTGGCAGCAGGGATTGACACAGATCACTTGATTAAAGTGGCATGGGCTACTCTCTCCATTGTCACATCAACTCTTCCTCCTCCTCAGCAACTTGGCCATCCGTCGGTGATATTTTAAGACTGAACATTCTGTTTCCTGTCAGGCTTTCATGTCCCGGTTTTAGCATCCGTGCACAATTCTTGCTTGCATTGATTACTTCCTGGTTTGCGGTGTTAGCAAATTCCATTTTCAGATCACAGATGAAGCTCAGAAGCTTCCGAGACTGGCACTCCGCCATCCACTGTGACATCTCCCAGATGTGGCCTACCTCCCATGGGCCACGGATGCTTTGCCACCCCTCTTGTTAGCACACAGATCTGTGTCTTAGAAGTCACCAGTATCTTCACATCTCAGGTCTTGCTTTGGCGGCTGTCCCGGGAGGCAGAGCCTGGTGGAGGAATCTTATTCATGTCATTGTGGTGGGAAGTGCTTGTGAGCAGCCCTGGAAGGAGAGGGGGGACACAGGACAAAACGAAGGAAGAAGTAACAGAGCTCAGGAGCATGCCTGGCCCCCCACAGGTGTCCCACCTTGAGACAGAAGGCCATCCACTTACAGCCAGTGTCAGCATGCTCTTGGCAGCTGGCTGCTCCCAGGAGAGGATGCTACAAACTCTTAAAGGCCAGGCATGGGCACCTGAAATCCAGCAGACATCGTAGGATGTGCCCTTCTGGGGAAGGAATGAGTGTCCACCTATTCTTTCCTCAAGACGCACTTGAGCAGCTAGAGGTTGAGTCATACTATGGAACCTGGTCCTGGCAAGATGTGGCTACTGGGGATGGCAGAGACAGAATAGCATTTTTGGGGAGCTGGGTGCTGGAGATCCAACCCAAGGCCTCATGCAGGCCAGGAAAGCACAGCATTGCCAAGCTGCACCGCAGCACCAGATGTACTGAGGTCCAGGAGTTCTTTGCTGTGCTCCTGGCTGCTCCAGGGCCCCAGCCTTCGATGAGCCAGGAACGTGTCACCCATGAATGTGGGAGAGGGCAGGGACCCTGGTCCCACCTTGAGACCCCTGTGGGGCTGAGCCTGTTGACCACCAGGCACACAGGGCCGTGTTGCAGGCTGTGGCAGGCAGTGGACAAGAGGCGGGTGTGGGATGCTCCGTCACCACAGAGCTGGGCAAGCCACCCATGACCTTCACTCTGAGCAGTGCTTAGCCACTTCCTGCCTCCCATCTGTGGCCGGCAGCAACTTCCGGCTTCAGACCTGGGTGTCTCATTTGTAAACAGAGATGAAGGCTTACCAACAGGATCAAGATGGGCACCAGCAAGGGCAGTAAGCTTTACTTATTGCTGTGATTCATGGGCCACAAAATCACCTCTGAAGGAGATGAATCACTCCCAGTGTTCTGTCTGTCCACAAGGTTGTGCAATCCTCACTACCGTCTGACATCAGACTTCTCCCGCCTTACCTGCTACTAAGAAATCCAGAACCCATCCCCAGGCACCTCTCCCTCCACTCTCAGCCACACCAAGCTGCTGTCTGTTGCTGTGGGTCTGCTACTCTGAACCTGCCTCAAGTTCACACAATGTGTGGCCCACATACCTTGCTTCTGCCCCTCAAAGCTTGCCTGTGCCAGTGCTCCCTTCCTTTGCATGGTTGGATAGTATCCCTAGACCACAATTTATTGGTCCTTCCACTTGTGGATAGAGACCCACAGGCTATTGTGAATAACCTCAGTATTATTTTATGACTAACATGGCAGCATTCCTTTGTAGGGTTTTATTATAAATAATGTCAGTGATCAAAATACTTGGCTTGGTACAAAGAAGCAAAACACACTTATCAGATCAGGTGCATAATGAGTATTTTGTCCTGGTGTATTTTGCTGTTGGAGTGGGGCTGTGTTCCTGCTTTGAGCATCAGGACCTCTCAGCCACCCAACCTGAAATTTAGCACTTGGGGTTCTGTCCTCAAACTCAAATGTTTTATGCCCGCAGACAAAACCTGAGCTGAACAACACTTAGGATGCTAAGAACTTTGCTAACAGGTTAGAGATGGACAGTTGGGTCCCTTGTGTTCAAAGTACTCTTCGATGGCAGAGAGATAGAATCAAATAATATATCCCTCAAAGCTCTTAGACCACCTGTAAGGTGGTGTCTTAGCCATTTTCTTCTCACTTGGACACAATCCTGACACCCACAGGTGAAGGAGGAGAGGTTTATTTGGGAATCATGGTTGTAAAGGAATCAGTTCATACGTGGCCAACTCCCAGGCAGGAACAGCATGGTGGACGGGCCTAGTGACCAGAGCTGCCCATGTCGTGGTGATCAGGAAGCAGAGGGAGAAGGGAGGAGCCAGGAGCAGCATCACCCCTGCCCAGGTCGCACCTCTTGACCCTAAGTTAGCCAGAGCACAAGAGGTTCCTAAGGATGTGAGTGTGAACCAGGACAGGGCATGAGCCTGACACAGCCCACCCTGTAAGCTCCAGGGGTGGTCTCATTGGTGGGGACCTGGCTGGCAGCCACTGATGCTACTTTTCTCTCCCAGCATGGTCAGACACCAGGAAGACCCCTGCCCAGAGGATGAGGAAGCAAAGGGCCGCCCACGAGACTCCGGCTATGAGAGCCTGTCTGGCCAGCTCAGCATCCTGGACCGGCTCCTGCACACACACCCTGTCTGGCTGCAGCTGGGCCTGAGTGAGGAGGAGGCGGCCAGAGTCCTTCAGGCCCAGCCACCCGGGGTGAGATGCATGCCTGTGGAAGGCTAAGGCAGGGGTGTTGCGTTGCCCCAAAAGCAGCATGTGGTTGGTTCTGGAAAGATGTTCCCAGGTATAGGCACAGCTTCTGGTGTGGGCCTTCATCCCCATGTAGGGAAAATCTGGAGATGCTATGACGGCTTTCAGGGATAGAGCCCCGACTGATTGCCATGTCTCCATTGCTGGGTTCCCAGGGCAATGTGGGGGGCCTGCTGGATGCTGGGATGTGTGTGTTACAAGGAGGAAGAGCAGAGACTAGTCCCCAGCTGTATCCTGAGCTTGCAGGGTCTGTTGTTTAACTGGGCAACCAGCTGTCCCAGAGCCACGGCTGGGCTGCTCACTTTTTCTGCCTGTCATGTGGCTTTCCACAGTGACCTGCCCCAGTCTGCTTCTTCACGTACACTCTACCCGATGTGTTCGCTTCGGCAGCATATACACACTCTACCTAAGACCCTGTAGACATCCCTAAAAAGACACATAGCATTTCACTCCATGAGGCTCTTTATGTTTTTTTCTTCTTCCTGAGATGAGGAGGTTAACCCAGGCCTTTTGCACTGAGTTCTATCCCTGGCCCTTTTTCTCATATTTTATTTCAAGACTAAGTCACTAAATTGCTAAGTTTTTCAGCCTGAGCTTAAACTTTGGACCGTCCTGCCTCAGCTTCTCACAGTACTGGAATTACGGGGATGCACCGCCCCACTGGGATTGGTGATTCAAATTCTCATTCATTAGAGGACATAAAATTAGAATTTCAGTTCCTCGGGTGCACCAGCCGTATCTTCACAGCTCATGGGCCACAGGTGGCTGCCATCGTGAATATCCTAGAATAGAGAACATTGTCATAATACAAAACCAGCTAAGGAACAGCGCTGTATATGAAAATGTCTGCTTCCAAACAAAAGATCGGTGCAGTATCAATCATGGGACAAATCGGACATAAAAGCCACTTAGGAGGCTAAGGCAGGAGGATAGTTGTGACATTAAGACCAGGATGGGCTACAAAGTGAGCTCAAGGCCAGCCTAAACTGTAGTGAGACCCTGTCTCAAAAAAAAAAAAAAAAAAAAAAAGAGGATGTAAAACACATAGATAGAAACTAAGGAATAGAGGGAAAGGCCAGACACAGTGGCAGCAGGCTGAGGCAAAAGGATTGCAAATTAAAGGGCAGCCTGGGGCAACTTAGCAAGACCCTGTCTCAAAATAAAATTCAAAGGGCTTAGGGTGCAGTGCAGTGCTCCGTGGGTTCAGTCTTATGTACCAGGAGAATAAATGGGTTGGAAAGGCAGGAAGAAAATGCAACCTGTAGCTGGCTGACTGTCCCAACTGGAGGGCTGGAGGTGGAGCTCCCGAGTTTCCCAGCAGCCAGGCCCCACTCACTTCCATCTGTAGCACTTGCTCACTTGGAAGTTGTTGACTTCTTGAATATGAAGCAGGCTTCCGGTCTCCATGGCTCACTCCTTGTCTGGCACTGGATGCCATACCCACAGCCTCCCCCAGGGAACCAGCGTAGGAGCTGGGAGCAGAATGCTGGGAGGAGCAGTGGTGCATTGGGGAAAACAAAAGAAGCCAGGTGTCCAGATCCAGGAGAAAGAGAAGTCAAGATGCAGGACAGGGCCGTGTGCTGCACAGGGAGCCAGGACTCACACTGCCTGCCATAGTGAATGTCCTGAGCACCATCTAACCTGTGTGTCAGGTGAATGGTGCAAGGTGGAGTTGTGCGGTGCACAGCCTGTGTAACAGCATGTGGCCTATTTGGATTCCTGCCTTAAATATACCTTAAGCCAAATGAGCTCCCAATTCACCACCTTTGCTTGAGCCACACTAGCTTTTCTTAGAACTCAGGTTCATCAAGATGTATTGAACAGTGCTAATGGTTCTGTTCATGAACTTTGCGGCTAAGGAAAATTGCATGCCCAGCTTCCAGCCTCCTTAATGTCCCTAAGCTCAAATTCCTCCTCCCTTCCTGTGCAGATCTTCCTCGTACGCAAGTCTGCCAAGATGCAGAGGAAAGTGCTGACCCTGCGTCTGCCCAGCGAGTTCGAAGTCCCGCTCAGGGAGTTCACCATCAAGGAGAGCACATACAGTAAGTTGGCAGCAGGCGTCAGGTACACAAGTGTGGTCCTATGGGGGGGAGGGACTCTGCGCTGTCCCGGCCCCCCAGTGGCCATCCTGTATTATGCATGGGCCACAGAGCCCGCAGGCGGGGCTTCCTTTCATCCCCTGCCCAGACTGCTATTACCTAGCCACAAGGGCTGCTGCAGGACCTCAGGGACAGACTGTGTGCCCTGTAGGTGTCACCTCGCCTATCCTGGGGAATGCAACTCTGTGAGCATCTCTTGCGCCTGAGAAACAACTTCCTCCAGTTTCTTCTCCTTCTTATTTTTCTGGTGCTGTGTTGGATGAGGCCTCAAATGTGCCCCGGTGCCTGGCCCTGTATCGCTGCTGGCCGGCCTAGGCTGGGGTTTGCACGGACAGTGCGGGTCAGTGTCACTCTCCTCTCCCGCTGTCCTGCTCGCTGCCTACTCTTTGGGCCCTGGAAACAGGAAGAGTCAGGAGGCCAGGAGGTGACAGGAAAAGCGCAGTTCAGAGGCCTTGGCACCCGGAAGGACCTGCCTGCAGCCGGTCTCAGTGGCACCTGGGGGAGCAGCCCTGCCCCATCCCTCTCTGGCTCTGGCACAAACCCAGAGCTCACCTGGTCAGGATTCCAGGAAACTGAGTCCTCCCCAAAATGGAATCTGTTGGATGGTGGAAATACATTGGGAGGTAACCCGAGGACACACAAGACACACTGTTTCAAAGATAAAGAATTTTGACTGGAAGGGGTGGGATCCCAGCAGCTTGGGAGGCTGAGGCAAAAGGATTGCAAATCGAAGACCTGCTTAGGCAACTTAGCAAGACTCCTTTTCAAAATAAAACCCTAAGGGAATACTACTATACCATAAAGAAGGAAATTTTGAGTCATTTGTAGGAAAATAGATGCCCCTTGAGGCAGTAATGTTAAGTGAAATAAATCAGACACACGAGCTTAAGTATTGCATGGTTTTGCCTAGGTGAGAAACCCAAACTGTAAATAAAGAGCAAAATAAGAGATAGATAATAGGAAGTAGGGAGACGGATCTCTTACAAATGGGAAGGGGAATCAAGCGCTGTTGGGAGGAGAAGCAAAAGAATGAAACCGCATGCTGCGCATGCACCAGCTCGAAGGCAGAGCCCAGTCTCTGTGCGCTGCAAACAGGAGCTGATACCATTGGGGGGGGGGGGGAGACCCTGAGTTCATCCCCCTTCTGGGCAGAAAAGGAAAATCTGTTGTGAATTTCTAGCAGGAAAACTGATGAACTTACATGCAGCTCAGCCACCATTTCTGAGTTGCTAGCCCCGCAGCACGTTTCCCGGCATCATAGCCCTGCGGTGACCTGGCTGGAGGCCCCGCCCACGTGCTGAAGCACAGTGGAGACTGGGGTTCCCTGCGCCCGTGTGGGTCCTTACAACCCACGGTGCCCACTGTTCTTTCCCTGGTCCTCTCCAAGTAACTACAGGCCCAAGTCCAGACAAGGTGTCCCTGGGCTTCACTTGGGCCCAAAGGCTGTGGAGTGTGGGGAAGAAATGCTTGCTGTAGTAACTCGCGGATGTTTGCCACTATTTCTGGACAACACAGCACAGTGCTGCACGCCATCTCCCATGTGTACGCACTGCTTTCAAAGAGACCATTTCGTTTTCTCAAAAAATGTCAGTTCCCACTGTCCCCCTACTGGGAAACACCAGTTCTATACATGTCCATTTTATAGATGAGGAAACCAAGGCTCACAGAAAGTGATTTACCCCTAATAAGTCTCCTTTGCTTAACTCGATAGACTGCAGCACATGCCTGCTGGTTGTTTCTGTGCACCTGCTCTCGAGGAGTCAGGCACCCAGCTCTGGTCGCTGCCTGACGTGGGCCACAGAGAGGGTGCTCGGGACACTCAGCTGCTCTCTGTCCTCTCTTTGCAGCCTTTTCCCTGGAAGGCTCAGGAATCAGCTTTGCAGATTTATTCCGGCTCATCGCCTTCTACTGCATTAGCAGGTAAGGCCCCAGGCCAGGCCCAGGGACCCGCTGGTTTGTGTGATTGGTCCAGTGGTCACCGTGTCTGGATGCCAGAGGGAGATGGAGAAAGCTGAGCTGAGATACCCTGGGTCACGCAGCACGGGAGACGAAACCACAGCTGCTGTGGGTGTCTGTGCTCAGCGACACTTCCACAGGCTGCTCCCCAGCAGGAATGCACCCAGGCACACACATGCATGCATGCACATGTGAATACATGCATGTGCACACATCATACATGGGCATGTGTTCACACATCAGCGCACATCTACACTCATATGTGCTCATGTGTACAAACACAAACACGCACACACACACACACACACACACACACACATACACATAAAAGAACCTGTGATGCAAACCTGTATTATTTAAAGGTCACTGCAGTGTTTTTACAAACTGGTCAAGCCATCCTATAAGCCTTGCAGAATCAACCCTTAAGCAAGTGGTCACTCTTGTCCTTTTTAAGACTAAAGCATCTATTTTAGTCTACAGGAAAGTAAGCTCCAAATCAGCATGTCGAGACAGTGTGAATTACAGAAGCCTCTTAAAAAATTATTCTGTTATTTATTTGTTTGTTTATTTATTTGATACAAGGTCTCACTATACAGATTAGACTCATAATGATCTTCCTGTCTCAGCCTCCCCAGCCCTGGGACTACAGGTGTGCTCCATGGAGCCAGCTTGGCACACCCAGGGTTTCAGGGCCAACACAGCATACCTAGGGTTCCAGGGCCAGCATGGCATGTGGTACCAGGGATTGAACGTGGGGTCTTGCACTTGCCAGGCAGGAGCTTAGACTGCCCAGCTATCTCCCCAGCCCTATTCTTTATTTTATTTATGGTACTGGGCATTGAGCCCAGGGAGCGCTGAAATATACCCCACCCCTATTTCTATTTTTATTTTGAGACAAGACCTGACTAAATTGCCCAAACTGGTTTCACATTTGCGATCCTCCTGCCTCAGCCCCCCTCACAGATGGGATTATGAGAATGTGCCACAAAACATTACTGCTTCTATCATCATCATCATCATCATCATCATCATCATCATCATCATCATCATTATTTATTACTGTCTTCATCATTTATTTTCCAACAGGGGCCCACACAGTGAGACCCTGCCTCAAAAAGGAAGGAAAATAAATCTACACTGAGACTCTTGAGGCGATATTTAAATTTAAGATGGTAGTTTCATTGTCTGTCGCACAAGCTTCAGTTAGGGCCCCTGTCTTTAGCAGGGCATAGGAGAGGAGGAAGCAGCCCTGCTTCATGTGTGTGCACATGTGTGTGGACGCTGGGACACGCTGACGGGTCCTGGCCAGGGAACATGAGTACAGCATCTGATTTTCTAGCAGATCAAAGCCTACAGCCACTCGTCAAGGGATGGCCATGTGGCTTGCTGTCACCTATCGTTAAGAAAACCCAAGCCAGTCAGGTGATGTTTGAACTCAGGGTTCTGCATTGAGCCCAGTAAAAGCTCAGAATATACATAGGTCAGTTTCGTTGCTGTCTGAAGAAATAGATTTTAACTGAGTTATGTGGCTGTACAGTCACATATTTGCAGGGTACTACGGTCACGAAAAGTTCTAGTTTGTGTCCTGCCAGGTCAGGCTGCCCACCTGGCATGGTGGTAGCGCACACCTGTAATCCCAGAGAGGCTGAGGCAGGAGGATCACTGAGAATGTGAGGCCAACATGAACTACCTGAGGAGACCCTGTCTGAAAGAAATAAACATAAAAAAAAAATAAACATAATGTGAAAGAAATAAAGGAAGACAGAAAGAGGTGTGCCCTGTGGCTGCAGCTGCTGCTTCTGCAGCACAGACAAAGGGACTAGCAGAAGGGTTCTCACACTTGGGTGGCAGGCACTGAGGTCTCCCGGAAGCAGGGGGTGGCATGGGTGGACACCCTAGGCAGGGGCAGCAGCCTCCTGCTGCCCTATAAATGGCACTGCAGGGCTATAGAGATGCACCAGTGTCCAAAAGACTCATGTTTTGCTCTTTTCATTGACTGTAAAGCTCAGTTACTCATTCAGTTTGCAGCTTGGAAGGCTGTGGAATCCCGCAGTCACCCAGATGTAATCTGTCCATTCGAGGGCATTGCCTAATTGGGCCGTAAACAAGTCCTTTGGCCCCACCATTCTTGTCTCGGCAAACTGCCAAGGCGACTCGTGAGGATAGAGCACAAGCAGAAGCCCCAAGCTGCGTCCTCCCCTTGCTGCAGCTGGCCGCTGCTCGCTCACTGTCCTCCCCCCGGGCCAGAGCCTCTCCCACGCCAGGGCCGCAGCACCTGCTCCCCCTCTTGGAAAGTTGTCCTTTGTGGTTTCTCCCTGGCTCCATACATCTTGCAGGGCCAGCTGTTCGTGAGTCCCTATCTCACCAGCTGTCGCCTTCACAAGGTTTATGAAGCCAGAGCCTTTACACTTCGTTATAGCTTACCCACTTCTTCTTCTTTTTTTTTTTTTTTTCCTGATTTTTTATCTTGAGCTTACTGCTAAATTGCCCTGCTGGGCTAAAGTGTGCAATCCTCCTGCCTCAGCCTCTCAGAGTGTTTGGATCGGAGATGCCTGCCACCTCCTCACACTATCCTGTGGTGCTGACCCCCTTCTCATATCTATGTACTCCTTAAGTGGTGTATTTGTGTGTTCAATTTTGTTCCCAGCCCTGAAGCTATGTCCTAGGTATGCTAGAAGGTTGTAAATATCTGTTGAATGAATGAATGAATGAATGAATGAATGAATGAATGAATGAATGATTCTTTGTAAGATCAACCAATACCATCATGGAAAGAAAACAACACTCCTCCCCTCAGTTGCCATTGTTACTGAGCATTTATTCGTTTCTTCATTTATTCCAAAAACACTTTCTCCAGGAAAGGTACAGGAGAAGTGAATGAATGCACAGTGCCCACTGTGCCCTCCTGAGAGCCAGTCACAACCCCCATGTTGGTGTCCACTGCCTACGCCCTGGCCTGTGCTCTTGGGCTCCATGCTGCTGGCTTCCCTGATGCTGTGATGTTGGGGTGGCTGCTGCCCCGAGAAGCCTCTCCTTGCCTTCAAGGCCCAGTCACCTGGGGCGGCTGCAGACACACAGGCTGTGCAGTTCCCATGCCCCGGGACACGTGCATGAGCAGTGCACAGTTCATGGGGTAGAGTGAGGGCCTGAAGGGTCCGCTGCCTGTGAAACTGGAGCGTGGGCTCTGCTTAGAAAGTGTCACAAGGTGGACCAGGGGCTGCTCACTGGGCACCTCAGGTGTGGGCAAGGGACTCATACACATGCTTTAGTGTGGCACATTCCTGCTCTGGGAGTTGGAGCTGACTCCTGACAGGCACCAGGCAGATTAGCACCTGTGGTGTCCTAGGTGGACACTGTCAGCATCCGCAATGCTGAGAGTGCTGATAGCAGCTCCACCCAGCTTGGCCTACCTGTGGAGACCCACAGGCTCCAGAACAAGTGAGCTCGACCTGCAGCTGCCCTGAGTGGCTCATGACAGGGTGGGGTGTGAGCTCAGTCATCCACTGGACACAGCACAGTGACCAAACACATTTTCAGGGTGGAAATGGGTGCCAGGACAGGAACTGGATGGGCAATGACAAACATTCTCTTTTTCTGCAAAACCAGGGACGTCCTACCGTTCACCCTGAAGTTGCCTTATGCCATTTCAGCAGCCAAGACTGAGGCTCAGCTTGAAGAACTGGCCCAGCTGGGACTAAGTAAGTGGGTGGCCCTGAGCTGTGTCAGACACCCCAGTATCAAACTGAACCTAGTAGTCCACAAGCTCCCAGAATTATACTTCCTGGGATTTATTTATTAGGCAGGGTCTCACTCTGTAGTTTAGGCTGACCTTGAACTTACTATGAAGCCCAGGCTGACCTTGAACTCACAGCAATCCTGCCTCAGCTTTTCAAATGCTGGGATCACAGGTGTATACTTACTCTGTCTGGCTTTTCTGGGATTCTCTTTCTAGGTCACATGCTCAGCCCACTCTTAGGAAAACGGCCTGTGAGGTCACCCCCAAATCTCTCCAGCTTCTCCTCTTGGTATTTGAGTCCATCCATATGTCAGAGTTCAAGTGTTCATGATGCAGCTGGGGTCAGGTCCTTCCCTGAAGTGACACCTTGCTGGGGAAAGAGGATCCAACACAGAGCTCATTTCTTTCCCATAATCGTGTGCCTGAGGGATTTGACGGGAAGATGTCCCGTCTCAACCCTGCCCCCCCCCCCGACAAGAACCTTGCTCTGCTGCTGGACACTCACCTCCCCTTCTGCCCCATTGCTGAAGTCCCCAGAGCCCCTGGTGCTATTGGGCAATGCTGTGAAGGATTGGACCACACAACTCACTGGGGACCTAGCATTGCGCTAAATCCGTGTGAGCCTCACCTTGTGGAACTTCCCTTCAGCAGAGGGGGCTTCTCAGATACCCGGGCTCTGTCCTTTAGCAACATTCACGAGCAGAGACCCTGGGATTTGGAGAGCACTTTGGGATTCTGAAGTCTTCGGACCATGATTTCTACAACCTCAGAAACCGATTCTTGACCCGGAAAATTGAAAATACCTACACCTCTTTGGCACAGCTTTTTCTGTAGTCTGAAAAAGTTGAAGTGGGTATTGTTTCTGGGGGCATCTCCCCAAGTGACAGACACAGCTGAAGAGCCTGAATTCCTGAGGCTCAGTGTCTTTGAGGAGTGGCCGTACCTTCTATATAGCAGGACTAGGAGAGAATCCTGGGTGTGGCGGAATATGGGAAAGCTGTGCCTCCTCGTGTGGCTAAATTCTGCACACTTTGTAGGGATTGAAGTACTCCCTGGAGTCAATGCAGTCAGCCAGATTATGGCTGTATGGGCTTTTTTTCCTTTTTATCTTTATGATTTTGTTTTGAGACAGAGTCTCACTATGTAGTTCAGGCTTGGCCTTGAACTTGAGATGATCCTCCTGACTCAGCCTCCCAAGTGCTATGATTCCAGGCAGTGTGGGGATGGATTCCAGGACCTCAGGCATGCTAGGCAAATGCTGCGCCACTAAGCTCAACCCAGGCCCCCATGGTGGGCATCTCCATGTCCACTGGGTGTCACTTTTCTCTAGCTCTGTGGCCACATAATTGCATAGACCTAGTACTGGTGCTAAAGGACTTCCACAAAAGACAATGCTGTGCCATACAAAAAATAAAGGCATGACAAAACTAAAATTTAGCTTGCTGTGGTGGCCACTCATTTAACTAGAAAGAACGAGGCCTAAGGAATAGATGCTCAGCTTGTGATTCTTAACGAGCTCATTACCCACCTCAGGTGGAGTCACCACATTTATTGATTTATTTAGTTAGTCTTTTGTTTGTTTGAGGGACATCTCACTTAGTAGCCCCGGCTAGACTCCAACTTGTTGAATTGTTCGGGCCAGCCTCAAGCTCACGACACTCCTGCCTCAGCCTCCTGAATGCTGGGGTTACAGGCGTGCAGCACTACACCCAGCTGAGACAGCTGAGTTTTAGATCCTGTACCTCATCTGTTCATTCAGTCAGCGAATATTTCCCCAGGCTCTGCCTTGTGGCAGGCACTGTGCCCACACAGAGGGTCAGGAGGTTACCAAGGTCTCGTGCCACCAGTTAATGAGGCTCTCAGCCTCTGAATGCAAAGGGCAGACAGGTGGAGCCAGTGTCAGGCCTCCTAGGGCTCCAGAGACATTCAAGCAGGAAGGACCCTTAGCACCCAGGAGGGGAGGACTTGGGTCCTCCAAAGCCTATCGTGTGGGACAACAGAGGTGTGAGGCAAGTCCACAGGGACTTTGACATTTCATGGCCACATTTTAAAATGGAACAGAAAAAAAAAAAAGAGAGAAAATCTGACACATGTTAAAGAAACTCAATCATTTATTTTATCCAAAATATTATTGTTTCAACACGTAATCAGTATGTAAAAAATAAAAAAACCCTGACTGTAATCCTAGCACTCTGGGAAACTGAGGCAGGAAGATCGAAAATTTGAGCCCTACTTAGAATTTAGCATCTTGGTGAAAATTTGTCTCAAACTAAAAAATGAAAAGAACAGGGCTAGGGATATAGCTGTATGAAGGCTCCAGGTTCAATCCCAGTGCCAAAGGGGGGAAAAAATCCCCCAAAGCATTGAAAATATATTTTACATTATTTTTCACATGAGGTGTCCAAAGTGCATTATTTTCTAAGCTCAGAGCATTCAGCCCACATATCAAGTCAGAAACATGCAATCTGTAGATTCCATTAAATTAACAATAAAGCAGGGCTCAGGGGCACATGTACGCCTGTTATCCTAGTGCTCAGGATGCTGAGGCAGGAGGATCATTGAGAGTTTAAGTCCAGTAAGAAATACATAGAAAAAACCTACCTCAAAAATGAATGAATGAGTGAATAAATGAACAAATGAATGAATAAAAATTTTAAAAAATAATTTATAATAAAAAAACCAGACTTGCCCAGTCCCACATGCCGTATCGGCCCCTGGGCATGCTAGTTGACCACCGAGACTGAGCATGATGGAGCACGGCTGTGATCCCAGCACTGAGGAGACTGAAGACAGGAGGATCACTATGAGTCCAAGCTGCATAGTGAGACCCTGTACCAAATACCTTTAAATATATATATCAGACTTGGGCACTCAATGTTTCCCAGTAACAGAGCCCAGCGTTACAGTTTCGTTGGATCCACACGAGGCAGACTTGAACCCCACATTCCTCAGTTGAATGCTCTCTCTGGTGCTCTGGGGTCCCCTGTGGCCCTTAGCACTCAGACTAGGGGCACGGGGGGGGGGGGGTAAGAAGGCCATGCAGGCCTGGGTGGGTGGGGGGACACCAGCATCAGGCCCAACACTCACTGCATGGACAAGGCAGGGCCGGGACTCCCAGGGGCCCTCTCTCCAGCTCCGCAGGAGAGTGGGGAGAGAAAGCAGACTGGAAGGAAGCCCAGGCTCTGTAACTCTGTCTGAGAGGAGCAGGGGTGTGGAGGCACAGATATTTATAGCCTGGTAAGGAGGTGCTAGGATTAAGGCAGGAAGGGATGAATGGCTGAAGCTACAGTTCCATTTGCATAGACGGCTCCCTGGTCTTTTTGCTGATGGCACCCGTGCCCGCCCTTTCCTCTCCTGGTTTAGTGCTGAGTATGTAAAAGCCAGGCCCATTGTGCAACACCCAGGCCCAGCTGCTGGCTCTGCCCTTAAAGGGGAACTCAGCACATCCACATCTGCATCCCTGCATCTGCACCCAAATCCCGGGAGGGCTGCTGGGAGAGGATGGTGGCGTCCTGAGGGCCGACTCAGTACAGCCTGCCCTGGAGATCCGGAGGACTTTCCCCAGGCTTGGCCCTGGACAGCTCTCTATCCCTTCTCACTTGCCTGGGCTCAGGGGCTGGGCACAGCCCAGCCAACTTCTCCCAAGGGCTTTTCTTTCTTTGTGGTTTTTTGAGACAGGGTCTCACTCTGTAGCCCAGGCTGGTTTTGATCCTCCTGCCTCAGCCTCCCTATTTATAGGCGTGAGCCTCCATGCCTGGCTCCTAAAGGGTTTTGAAGGTGAGAGGCCTCTGGGGCCTCCTGTGAGCTCACAGCTGGGCCTGGCAGCGGGTTTGCCCTTTCCAGTAAGGGAATGCAATAAAAGCAAAGAAATAAAGCAAAACTGCCCAGCCCTCCCCTCCCCCCTCCCCTTCTCTTCCCTCCCTCCAGCTGTGGGCTCCCTGACTTCTGAAGGAAAGAACGGCCCAGGGCACTGTATTTACATTCTTGTGTTCGCTGATAATGACTTTCAGATTTTTGGAGCTCCTCCGCTGACAGCAACCCCCCCAACCCTCCACCTCCCCATAGGCCTCCCCCCGCCGACGGCCTCTGCCCGGGCCCCTGGCGCCAGCTCTGCCTCATCAACGGGGTGCACGCCATCAAGCCCAGGACGCCCTCGGAGCTGGAGTGCAGCCAGACCAACGGGGCCCTGTGCTTCATTAACCCGCTCTTTCTGCAAGTGCACAGCCAGGACCTGGGGGCTGGCCCAAAGCGGCCAAGCGCAAGAACTCCACCGGCCAATGGCTCTGAGAGGCCTCGGTCCCCACCGCCCCGGCCTCCACCACCCGCCCTTCAGAGTCCGCACACTAGCCCTGGGCTGTCTGGGACTGACACTCAGCTGGGCATGCCACAGACAGTGGGCCCTGACACGCAGGAGAATGTAGCCAAGCTGGGAAGAAAACCAACCCCCATCCCTCCACCCCGGCTGAAGAAGCAGGCTTCTTTCCTAGAGGCGGAGAACAGTGCCAAGACCTTGAGTGCCCAGCCCCTAGTCCGGGGCCAGGAGCTGGAGCTGGAGCAGGGCACAGCTGGCAGCGCAGGTGGGGCCCCGCCCGCAGACTGTTGCACAAGGGCCCAGCCTCCTCCCACCTCTGCAGCCCGGCCCCCGTGCCATGGGGGCAGGCAGAGGCTGAGCGACATGAGCATTTCCACTTCCTCCTCTGACTCGCTGGAGTTCGAGCGGAACATGCCACTGGACAGCTATGAGGGGGACACGAACAGCAGCCTGGAGGACTACGAGGGCGAGAGTGACCAGGAGACTATGGCGCCCCCCATCAAGTCCAAGAAGAGCAGGCACAGCTCCTTCGTGCTGCCCAAGCTGGTCAAGTCACAGCTGCGCAAGATGAGCGGTGTGTTTAGCTCCTTCATGACCCCTGAGAAGCGCATGGTGCGCAGGATTGCGGAGCTGTCTCGGGACAAGTGCACCTACTTCGGCTGCCTGGTGCAGGACTATATCAGCTTCCTGATGGAGAACCGAGAGTGCCATGTGTCCAGCACAGACATGCTGCAGACCATCCGGCAGTTCATGACCCAAGTCAAGAACTACCTGGCCCAGAGCTCTGAGCTGGACCCCCCCATCGAATCGCTAATCCCCGAGGACCAAATCGGTGAGTAGCTGCTTTGTTTTCCAATCGTAAACTCTCCAGTAGGTTGACCCAGCTCTGCCCGATAATGAGTTGTATGTCATGGTTGAGATTTACTTGGAAATTCTGGACCTCACAGAATTCCACATGGTATGAGTGGGCAGCTTCTTAGGGCAGCTGCTAGAAAATGTTTGGGGAGCAGTGGACTGGGATTGAGGAGCGTGTCTGCTCAGGAACTGTATCTCTGCTGCTGTTAGCTGCAGGCTGGGGACACAGAGAAGCACCTTGATGTCCCCTGGCAGGCAGTGGGGTTTGTGCTGCTGTCTGCGAAGTCAACAAGGGGTAGCCTGAATTTAGAGAGAGCCAAGATGAGGTGACAGCACCCCATGTTTGCACCCTGAGCGCAAGCACTGGCCACCATGAGCAGGATGGAGTCTGTACCCTTAATTCCTGGGGACCTATCGTGTCCCAGGGTACCAGCCTCGCTGGCCTCAAAGCCGAAGTTCTGTGCCTGGGATCCTTTCAGAGTGAAGAAAACACCAAAAAGTTGCAAAGACGAGTTTGTTTGGTGTGCCTTTAAAACAAGTAGCGTGGCTTTTGGAGGTCGCCTGAAGGGCGTTCTCGCAGAGTTGGGGAAATACTTTCTTTATAACTTCACTGAAGGGCTAGATTGTTCCTGGTTACTTTGGCAGGGAACTTGCCAAGCTAAATTTGAATTTAGCAAGCGGTCTTTTTTCTTTTCTTTTCTTCTCAGGGTGAGAGTATTGAAGGGTTTTGTTTGTTTTGCTTTGTTTTATTTATTTCAGAAGGTTGGTTTGAAAAGGTTAACTTAAGAGACATCAGGCACCAGGCAGCGGCTGCCAAAAGCACTTCCAAATATTTGCAGGCAGCTCAGAAGCTAACCCCAGATTTATTTCTTCTTTCTGATTGGATGCGTTTGTTGAAAGTAGTAAACAGTAGGATACAGTAGTGTCTTTCTCTGTCTCTCTGTCTCTGACTCTCTCTCTCTTCCTTAAAGTGAGTTTGAGCCGCTCTTTGATTTACTCACAAAGGAATCAAAGCCTGTTTGTTTTCTCACCATTTGGCTGACCAGGGGCGTGGTCAGAGCCAGGGTGTCGCTGGATGGAGTGGCTGAAAGGAATGTGTCTCTCTGGATGTGCTCTGAATGGAAAAGCCTTCCTTCCAACTACCCCGCACCAACACCAGCGGCCCTTTCCCCTCCTGAGCCCCTCCAGGGAGACCAGCTCTGAGGAGCCTTAACAGGGACCTCAACCCTTACCCTTGACCTGAGGACCAGCTTCCTGTTGGCCTGGGGACAGCCAGCAGGTGACGTCAGGCCCTAGCTATGTGGCTGGTAGGGCCCGCAGCTTGGGAGAAGGGGCTGTGCAGCCAGCCAGGCCTGGGCAATCTCCCACTGTTCTTTTCCTAATTAATTTCAGGCTCAGCGTTTGCTCTTGGAGCTCAAGGCCTCAAGCCCCCCACCCCCACTAAAACAGGCTGCAAATTATACCCTCCCACCTGTGCAGTAGGTAGCTTTCAATTTAACATCTATGACCTGGTGAAAAGGGAACCTGACATCCAAGGGGCCTTTCCAGTGAGCGGTGCCTGTCTGACTGCTTAGACAGGTGCTCAGGTCGCCCCCAGAAAGATGCACCCACACCCATGATGGGTGGGAAAAGGGAGGGCTGAGCCTGGGGAGACACCTGCCACCTGCCCCTTGCCACCTCAGCTCGTAGCTGGCAAGCACTGCACTTGGCTTTATATAGGATCCTGAGCAGTCATTCTACCCTAATTCTCTTCCCCTCTCCCACCACCTTCATGTCTTCTGGCCAGCTGTGGAGGGAGCAGCACAGCAGGCTGACCTTTATGGAGGCCTCGATGGCAGTGTGGGCCCGAACTCCGAAGATACTATCCGGTTCTTTGTGTGTCTGTTGGTTGATGTCATTTGTTAGGGATGGCACCCAGGGACACTGGACCATGGGTACATCCCTAGCCTTTGAAAAGTTTTTCTTTTTGTATACAGGTCTCATTAAATTATGCAGCCTGACCTCAGATTTATAATCCTCCCACCTCAGCCTCCGGAGTGACTGAGATTATGGGCATGTGCCATCACACTCAGCTGTTAGTTTTTGTGAGACAGAGTCTTGCCCTCTTGCACAGGACGGCCTTCAACTCTCAGACTGTGGTGATCTTCCTGCCTCAGCCCCCAGAGGGGTGGGATTATAGATGCACAACACCGTGCCTGAGCTGGTTTGGGGCTTTTTAACATTTGTATTAAAGTGGACATTCATCCTGATGCCTCACCAATGCAGATGTCATTCTGGTTTGAGAGGATAGCAAAAGTGCTGGACTTGAGAAGTCGGGGGCCCTGGGCTCAGTACCCAGCTCTGAAGGAAAAGAGTGAGAATTCAGGGGAGAGACTGGACCACAGGGCAGCTGGAGAGACTCCTGACAAGGAAGGGACGATGTGAGCATCGTTTCCGGAAAGTCCTTTCCCGTAGGTGTGCAGGCAGCATTTGGGACCCTGAGTGAAGTGTGGCCTGAGCCCAGCTGTGTGTCTCACACACTCCTAAGTTACGAGGGCTTCTTTTGGCAGAGGCGCTGTGGAGACTCGTCACCTAGGCCTGGGTGTTTCTGTCCAGATTGTTCAGGGTTTGCAAATTCAGGAGGAGCAGAAAGGCAAAGTAACACAGAGGATAACAGCTATAGACATGGGGGTCTGCCCTGCCCAGCTCCCTTCCCACATAGTCTTGGATTTGAAAGCTGTCCTGGAAACCCCACACTTCAGGTTTGCTCTGAACAGGGGTCCCCAGATGCTAGCAAATCTCTTACAGAACAGCAGCTGGGTTTCTGTCATTTAAAAGAAACTGGTCCTGTGCCCTGTTCTCATAACCCCTGGAGGACCCAACTGTGAGTGAGGGCACAGGAATTCTCGTACGAGGCGTGGATCACAGAACTACGCCCAGCAATCCAGGAGGTGGGAGGAGAAAGCTTGTAGCAGCCACGCTGTCCCGGGTGTCGTGTGAATGAGTGCCCGGCCCCTGGCTCTGGCATGGGGAACTGGTGCAGGCCACTGTCCTCAGAGGGGGTACTTCAACTGCAGAAAGAAGAGTACTGAGGAAGAAAACCCAAAGCAAACCATCCCCCCACACTCCCATTCTGCTCCAGTGCACGCTATTGTCAGTTCTTGCCCTTTCTAAGCTGGTAGAATTGACGAGCAGTGACTCAGCCTCAAAGATGGGCAAGGCTGTGTGAAGGCTGTGTCCCATCATGCAGCGTTGTCATGTTCTTTAGACACCCTTTGGGGAGAACTTCCACCCCAAGCTCTTCCAGGCAAAGGCCTCATGTTGCCAGGTGTCCTGTGGCTGTCCAAGCTGGGGAATGCAGTCCATGAGGACAAGATACCAGCTAGCTGCCTGGCCATGCTACCAGCTGTCCCTTATTTCTGATCTGAGGGGGCTTCCTTGACACACAGCTCCCCATTCCACTCCCAGGTGCTCATGGGAGAACAAACCAATGTTTTCTCCAATAATCCACACACCATGGAGGCCCACATGCAAAGTCCCGGGCTTAGTTCCCTTATGGCTGGTACTGGGGCAGGGAGGACCAGACAGACCGGCGTGACATCCTGGCCACCCCAGCTTTTGCTCCTCCTTGGCAGATTTTCACATTGTACTGCACTTGCTTGAGCCATTTTTTTTTTTTCTTTTTTTTTTCTGAACCAGGGATTGAACTCAGGCCCTTGCGCTTGTCAGGGAAGCGCTTTTTCCACTGAGCTATCTCCCCGGCCCCAGTCTTATGAAACCAGTGGAAGAAATTCACCCCCAAATTTCTGGTAACGGAATCTGCTCTTTGCCAGATTTCTTACAATTTTGTGGTTGCTTGTTTTCATTTTAGTAAAGGATTTTTATTTTCATTTCTGACTTGGCGTCAATGTTGGGAAATCCCCGTTCTCAAGCCTTGCTTCAAGAAAAACAAACTTTTCTCCAACTCCAAAAATATTAGTAATCCTAAATTTTCTGCTTCATTCACATTGCCCACCACTACTCTCATGAACGACACAAAACAGCTGAAGGTAGATGATGAAAAACAGAATGTCATGCTGTAAACCAAAGTGTGTATTTTCCCCAAAGAGTATTTTAATTATTGAAAATGACATGTTCTTAAACCCAATCCCCACATACTTCAAAGAGCACATCACTTTGTCATTCCAAATGGGTTGTTCTGTTGGGTGGTTTGGTTTGATTATTTGAGATTCTGGAGATTGAACCCAGGGACTTTGTACTGAGCTACATCCCCAGTGTGTTTACTTATTTATTTTCATTCATTCATTTTCAGGGTCTTGCTAGGTAGCTAAGTTACCCAGGCTACGCATGAGTTGTGGCCCTCCTGCTTCAGCCTCCTTGAGTGCTGAGAGTATAGTTATGGACCGCAACACCTGGCACAAGACAAGCTGGCATGAGCCTGGCTTGGGAGGCTGAGGCAAGAGGATGGCATTAGCCCCAGAGTTTAAGGCTAACCTGGTCAACAGAGTGAGACCCTTTTCCTGCCTCCACAAAAGGAGGGCAGAAGTTGATGTGGTTTCCTAGCCATTGAATAGTCATAACTATTTTAGTTCAGATCAATTTAAAACTGAGTATGGAAGCCTGGTTTGAATGCTAAGACCTAATGTGTTTTGTTTTTAAAATTTTGGTTCCCAGCATGCGTTCAGCCTCCGAGTTAACTGCTGTTCCTGTCCTTTATTTTCTCCCTTCTTTTTTATTTATTTATTTTTTTTTTTTTTAAGGAGGGCTCTCACTATGGAGTGCAGGCTGGCCTTGAACTCAAAGGGATCCTCCTGCCTCAGCCTCCAAAGTGCTGGGATTATAGGTGTGCCCCACAATGCCCAGAAGACTGTGTCTTTTTTTTTTTTTTTTTTTTAATAAAAAGACCTGCTATGAGACATGTGTCCTGAGAGGCATCGTGGTACCAAAGCAAGGCGGAAGCCTCAGTCTTCTGGCTGCCAACCCTACCACCTGGGAGAA